TTGTGTTGGTTGTGGTGTGGGTTGTGTTGGTGTTGAAGTAAATTAAGTCATAACGGTTTTTGCTTGGTGTGTGTGTGTGTGTGTGTGTGTGTGTGGGGGGGGGGGGTCACTGGTGCCCGTTATTTGTTTTAATTCAAATAATCAGTTGATAAATCTTCAGGTCAAACGGTTTTGACTTAATTTACTTGTGTTTTATTTCATCTACGTGTTAATGAAAGAAAAGTGTGCAGGTTAAAGAACCTAAACGTTTTCGCTGATGTTCAGATGGAAATCTGTCATCCTCCCCAGAAACGTGCACGCAGGACGGTGCATGTTTGTAGCCGTGACTCTGCTCGCCCATCTGTGTGTGATCAGCTCAAACATCACGGGACAAGAGTCCTTGGACCTGCACGTGAACCCTTCAGCCAATGAGAAGAAGCCACGGCTCCAAAACTCATCGTTTTCTCGTTTTAAGCCACAGACGTAAGAATTAGTTCAGATCAGTCGACTTTGATTCCATCCACACAAAACCTCCGTTTAACAAGGAACTGCCTCTGATTCCTGACAGAACCAGACGGTTGTTATAATGTGAGGGGCGACACGAACACAACTAACACAATGACACACAACATTCCAGCAGAACAGGGAACGGGCCCACGTGGTTCTGATCCGTTCTGCTCGCCTGAGGGAAACAGGCCTTCCTGTGGGGGAGTGTGCATTCAGACATGGTGGAGGGTGGAGCTGCTGTGGACCCACCTCCCTCTGAAAGAAACAGCAGACAAGCCCCAAGTGCTCAGGCTGCTGCAGCGTGACCCCCCCCCCCCCCCCACACACACACACACACACGCACGCACACACACACACACACACACAGCTGAGCTGCAGTCAGAGCGAGTCATGGAAGCTCAAGGTCTTGAGACGACTAGAAACCAGTAGAAGCTGAAGGAGTTTCTCATGAATAAATGGGTCTGATGGGAGCTTCATACAGTTCACAGAGGATCAGCTCATGTCTCTGAATTACCCCCCCCCCCCCACTTGTTTGGCTCTACTCCAAATCCACACAAGCAGCCATGAGAGGCGCTGAGCAACAGGACAAAGGTTCAGCAGTGCGTGGGTTAAATCGACACACTAGAAGAACTTTCAGTTCTTTTTGCTTTTAAACAACAACTGACAGTTTAACCAAACTATGAATCTCTATAAAGTTTATTTCTTCAAAGTGCTGCTCTTCTGATCCACTTTTTTCATTCAACCTTTATTTCTACTCGTTGGTCTCATTGAGCCTCGAGGACTCAGCTGCAACAGAGACTGATTTAACAAAGAACGATGACAACAACGCACAGGCATAAAAAGATAAGATGCAAAAAAAGTAACAAAAACAGCTGGATATTATATAGATATAGATAGATATAGAAAATATAGACTATAGGGTGAATGTATAAAACTAAAACAGGAACATGTCTGCATTGGTCCCTGCCAGGAGTCCAACAGATGTTTGAAGCCACTTAGAGAGGTCAAAGGTCGAGAGCTTCAGGTCTTTTTACAAGATGTTCCAGGAAACAGGAGCAGGTCTTTAGTCTGTTTCAGTCCTCACTGAGGGACACGTTTGACGTTTGAACCTCCTCTGCTCCGTCTGTTTGTTTTCTGAACCCGTCCAGAGGATCTGACGTAACTCTGCTTCTATTTGCACACACAGATTTGATCTCGTGTGAGCGTGTCTCCGTCAGAGCGCCGCCTGTTTGAAAAGCTTTCCAACAGGTCAAAGTGACACATTCAACACCCCCCCCCCAGAAGGTGACATGACAAAAGGCAGAAGAGACTCAGTGAGAGCAGCAGAAGATGAAGACCAGCTGCCACATGGAAGAAGGATGCTCAGCTCACATTCTCAGGAGACAGAAGAAACGCAGGCTCTGATGAACCTGCACACATGATGAACACTGGAGTCTTTGATGAAAAGGCCTTTTCATTTTGAAGCGTTGGACAAAAGATAAATTCAATCGTTACTTTAATAAAACTTAATTCAAACTCAAGAAGACGTAAAGAATAATACTCGTGTGTCCACACAGCTGCATCCTTAACAATGACAAAACGAAAGGCCCATGAACAAAGTGTGTGAAGAAGTCCAGAACCGTCTGTGAAGACCTTCAGACCTTCTCTCTGCCCATGAACCATATGTTTGTGTTAGCACTGGGGGAGAAGGCTGCGCTGCAACACACGACCATCACGACCAGTGCCTTATGCTTTAAATGGGTTCATTTGTATTTATCTTTTACTTCTTTATTTCATTATGATTTCTGTTTCAGTTCGGATTATATTCCTTGGGGTTTATTGCATTTGTTTAATTATTTGTACTTTTGGTGCACCCTTTGTTTGCTGGTTCAAGGTTTTCGTGCTTGCTGATCTCACACCTGCTTCCAGTCTCTAATCACCTGAACCATCACCCACCTCTGCATGACTTCCTGGATCCTTGTCTTTTTTCTTAAAACTCATCACTAATGTTTAAGATGCGCATGTTGTAGTTTTTCTCTTCTCGTGTTATTTCCTGTTTGGTTTCTGAATATTGCTGAATGTTTGTCACCATTTTCATTCTGGCTACTTTCTTCTGCAGGAAGGTTGCTGTGAGATTTATAATGAGAAGGACCTTCATTTTATTATTTTATTGCTTTTGAACTTCCACATTATTTTTATTTATTTCATTATTACTCATGTATTTTTATGTAACACCGATTGTTTCATCCTCCTGTTGCACGGCAGGCTTCAGGCAGATTTACAGTTCTGAGTTTAGTTTTAGACACTTGAAGGTTCAAGCAGCGTGTGCCCTTTTTATTCTTAAGAAGACTAATTGTTCTTTAGTGTTCTGAAGGTGTGTGTGAGTGTGTGTGAGTGTGTGTGTGTGTGTGTGTGGGGGGGGGGGGGTCCAGTTTGTTGGATGCTTCTGTTCAAGCTTGGAAACAGTCGGTTGCATTTCCAGTTAAACACGACATCATCTTCAGCTGATCGCTTCTTTTGTCTCTTCCAGCAAATAACATTTGATCTATTTATCATGTCACATCAGGCACATGTTAAAAAATAATAACTTTAAAAATCTTCCCACATATTTAAACAGCTGACTGAATTATTGGCCTATCTCCAGCCCTGCTGATAATCTTTGTCCGTCTCTGCTTTATGCTGCTTTACCTCATCCAAGAGGTGCATTCAAGACCCGACAAAGGAAGAGAAGCTGGTATCAAGATCAAACTGCCCCCCCCCCCCCCCCCCAAAATAATTAAACGTATCACTGGCAAATCTCCAGTGTTTTCTCATTGGAGAGGATTACTCATGCTAATGTAAAAATTACCAAAGAGACGTACTGATGATGATGATGATGATAATAAAAGTTGTGGTTGTGACTCTTCTAATTCATTCAGCAACAAATAATCATCGAAGGCTCCAGATGCAGATTCACATCTGTGCAGTTTGGTTTTGCAGCTCAGTGTACGAGTCCGGAGACTGATCCACCGATTGAGTCATCGAAACAACTGTGAGCGACAGCAGCACTGCTTAATGCAGTCACACACACACACACACACACACACACACACACACACACACACACACGTGCATATTTTCAGCTCCAGAAACATTCATGTTGGTTGTCGTGTGTGTGCTGGCAGACAGAAGAGCACAAATAATCTGTTTCAGGTACAATTACCTCCATTAAAAAGACAAATAAAGATTGTGTCACATGCTTCAGGGTTGAAATGACTTTAGAAATGTTGATGCATTTTTTTAAGGTTTTAGTTGTATCAACTTCCTGTTTTATTTTTTAAACCTTCTGACCTTGTGTGCTTTTATTAATTCTACTTCCTGTTTGGCTCCACACTTGTTGACTGATTGCTCCTCGTCTGCGTTGCAGTTTTTCATCAAGCCTCCCAGCACGTTACTGTTTCGGTTCTTGCAGAACTTCCTGTTTCTTGTCTGATTTTTAAGCTTCAAGCACTTTGGTAGAAATATTCAAACTACATTTCATTTGTAAAGAGGAAGAGCAGCTGGCCAGAGTCTGCAGCTGCTTCAGGACCAGAAGCTGAAAATGTCCGATCACTGCAGGCATCTTGTTTCTTTTCCTGCTGTGCGTCAGCGTCTAGTGACATGAGTCGTCCTGCAGGAAGTGCTCGTATCGATAAAAAGTGCTCTCGTGATGTCACAGTGTGCACGAGTCAGGGTGACAGACCATCCACGGCCGACTGAGCACATCAACTAAAGGAACCTGCAACAAGTTTGATCTGTGCATGAAGTTTATCATTTTAAATTA